AGTAAATACATACAGCATATATGTAATATATACATATTATACATATTGTGTGTCTGTATGTACACATGACAAGAGTCATGAACAATGAAAGAAACAATAAACAAGGAATTTAAGTGTTCTATGATTCTAATATATTAAAATATTTGGTCAAACTAATACTTTGAGTAGAATCTATGTATATATATGTTTAATCTTTATGAAATCCTGTAAAATACTAATAAGAAGTYTTCTAACTATAAAATTCAGGACAAGTTTTGAAAAGGATTATATGACTGAAAACAGCTAAATAAAAGAAAGAAAGAGTGTATGAAATAGGAAAAAACAGGTAGAAAAGTAAATATACTACAAAAAATAAACATTAAAAGCKTCATTTAAAATCTGRAATTGCTAAAATTCAAGCATGAATGCTTTCCATATTTAATTAATAGGTAGAAAAAAGTTGAAATAAAAGGAAAGTTTGAAATAAAATAAATACAGTTGTTGTTTGTTGTTCATGAGTTCCATATTTGTTTATTTGCCTACTCAGGAAATTTATCTGAAACCCCAAGTCAACATCTGYTATGCTTTTGGAGTAATTTGAGGACATGCAGAGAACAGCAGAAACAAAAACAAAAATACTTGAATCACCCTGTGTGGGCACTCCCAGCTAAGGTGGCACAAAGTGACACTGAGTTTTCTTTCAGCTCTCTTTCTATAACAAGTGTCCTTTTCACAGTCTGTTGACAGCACTGTTTTCCATGTATTTACAGTTATTGTTGGTGATTCTGCTGTTTAAAGGGCCCCCAGTCAGAGTCCTAACAATGTTCCAAAACACAAGAATTCTGTGATATGCCTTAGAGACCAATGCTTGTGTTAGCTTCATTCAAGCAGGAGTGATGCTGGTGGTGGCGAGGTCATTTTAAAACAGGAGTCTTTTAAAAGAAGCACAGATAAAACAAAATAATGTATTGATTGTTTGATGAAAATGTTGAGACCAGAGATTTGTAGAAAAATATGTTGCATTATTCTCTAAATTATTGTCATTTATTAATAAACATTAATGATTAATTATAATGCTATATTACATAGTATAAATAAAAGTTTCTTTTAGGCTACCATTTTTTAAATATAGATAAATAATAAGACTGTAAGGATAAAATATGTTAGAAAATCACAGAATGTTACCACTATAAAATATTGATGAGCTCATTACAATCGTTAGAACTTAAGAGGAGCAACAGATGAGGAAATTTAATCTTCCTGAATAAAGTAAAAAAACAAAAATGGGTAAGTACTTAAACACTCATTAATCTAGAAATATTTAAATAGAGAGACACTGTCTTTACAGTCTCATGAGCTTCTGTAAGTCCATGTTCTTTTTTGTACAATATGTTTTTCAGAGATACAGAAAATCCAGAGGCAATAGCTGAAACTTTAAAACTACTAGAACACAAAAATAAAGAAAATGCTATGATATCACTCTGACCAATATTTCCTTGAATATGACCCCAAGAAAACAAACAGAAAAAAAAAACAGAAATAGAAAGGATTGAGCCAAATTAAAAGATTCTGCAAAGCAAAGAATTCAAGTAAGAAAACATTCCAGAGTGTGAAAAAATATTGGCAACACATACACATCTGATAAAATATATAAAAATCCCAAACAACTGAAAGTTAAGAAAAAAATTCAAAAATTGACAGTAGATCTGAGCAGAAATTTCTCAAAAGAAGGATAAAAATAATAGCCAATGTATATGAAAAATCTCCTTTATCATTAGTCATCAGGATTCACTCAAATGAGATGTCTCCTCACACCTGTTACAAAGGCTGCTATCAAAAAGATGAGAGTAACATGGAGAAAAGGGAACTCTTATACACTATTAATGGAAAATACTGAGGGAATGTAAATTAGTAAACTTAAATGGGAAAAAAAGTATGGGGTTTTCTCAAAATTCAAAATAGAGCTGCACATAGTCCAGTTACCTATCTACTGACTATGTATCCAAAGAACAATATCTGAAGGTTTTTCTGCCCTCCCTTTCTTATTTTGCACTATTCACAATAGTCAAGATACAGAATCAACATCAGTGTCTATCAACAAATGAATAAAGAAATGTGGGTATATATGCACAATGAAATAATATTTAGAATTTAAATGGGTGAAATCTTGTCATTGGTTACAACATGGATGAACCTGGACGATATCATGTTAAATGTGGTTAGTCAGACACAGCAAGACAAATACCATGTGATCTTACTTATATGCAGGACCAAAAAAGTCAAACAAATAGAAATACAGAGTAGAAAGGTGGTTACCAGRGGCTGAGATGAAGATAGTCTAATTAAAGAGCACAAAATTTTGTTATAAAAGAAGAGTAAATTTAAAAAGTTTGTTATACATCAAGGAGACCATAGTTTAAAATTTATATTATCATCTTAAAAATTTCTTACTGAATGTATTTCCAGTGTTCTCACCACAAAAATAATCACATTTTCTGTAATGGCAAAAGGATATTTTAAAAATCCCCAGTGTATTTTTACCTCTAGTCTCTGAGGGATCTAATAACTATCAAATTTGTTTTCTCCTATATGTCCCTTACCAATGGATACTTTTAAATACTGTACTCTTTTCAATCTAGAACAGATAAGTTCACTGGATGATGAAGACTAAAGCATTTCAGGATTTCATAAAGTTGTTACTTCCAAAGTCCAAGTGCAACCTGGTAGGTTTCCTGACCCTTTCACATTACCCTACCTTTAAACTACATATGCCACACTATTTGAAGTTACAAATTAAATGTGTACCTAATTAATAAATACAAATGCCATATTTCTAAAAGAATGAGGGGATTGAAAAGAGCTAACTAAATGGAAATAAATTTAACTTAGTTTCAAATTGAAAAAATATTAAAAATACATTTTATATTGTGTGCKAAGAAATTAATTCAATACTCCTAGCTGAATAAGTCATCTTTAGAAAAGAGATGATGTGTTTAAATTGTTTGCCCACACTGATCAGATTGAATGGTTTTATATTATCACATGATATAAGAATCTTTACCAACTCTCTTTAAGGCATGCAGTAATTTTTAATAGTGGATATATAACAAGACTGCAAGGGTGAAATTCCTGATCCATAGCCTAGAAAGTCACAACATGTTACCACAAATGATACTATTGTTATATTCATTAGAATTTAAGAGGAATGACTTAAGAGAAAATCTAACATCTCTAAGACACAGTATAAAATGGGTAAATATTTAAACACTAATTTAACTGGAAAACAATCAATAGTTTGGAGGTTCATGTGCTCCTACAAGTATATTATTTAATACTTCCTAGAAATATAGGCTGTCCAGAGGAAATAACAGCACATGATAGTCTTACTGCAAGAGTACAAGAACATTCAAAAAGTCCTGGTGGCCAGTGAGAATAATCAGACATTTCCACTTTCAAATTCTGCTCATTTAATTTTTACATATCTCTGGAAGATGGAGTCAATGGGACACTTCTGATAAGATATTTGTCTTAATGCTAGCTATGCAAGGGAAGGTATGTAATTGCATGCTTTGTGTGGTTAGCTAGAGACACACTGTATTTTCACATTTAAATCGTGTGACTAACAGGTTAAAATTTACAAAAAAAAAATATTCCCACGTATCTAATTTTCTTTCTTAATAATCATATTGGTTCTGGCTATAAGATTCTGGTAAACACAAGAAAAGTTCTAGAAATAATTCACAGGCCTCTAATAAGAATTGCATTGAGCCCTACATTAAGGGAAAGGGGAGGCTCTGCACTTTATGGCTTAAAGTAGATCAAGTCCTGACCTCATTAAATGTAAGCACTTTTTTTTTTTCCATTTTTTAAATTCACTTGGCTGAGCCGCCTCAGTCAGTGTCACAATGTCTTTGATTTAATTTATCCTGAAAAATGTTAAGTTTAAATAAGCCTTTGTGAAAATAATTGAGAAGAAACAAAGACCCAAAGGGGACAACAACTTTCATGACACTGTACATACAGTGTATCTACATTTTTTGTGGTATTGTCTTTCCTTTTTATTTCTTTTTTTTGAGACAGAGAGAGAGAGAGAGAGAGAGAGAGAGAGAGAGCGAGAGAGAATTATTTTAATATTTATTTTTTAGTTTTTGGCGGACACCACATCTTTGTTTTATGTGATGCTGAGGATGGAACCCGGCGCCGCATGCATACCAGTTGAGTGCACTACTGTTTGAGCCAGATTCCCACCCCTCTTTTTCTTTTAATAAACAAAAATTAATGGTTCATCTCTCTTATTATTTTTCTCAAATTATTTGAGAAAAGTTGAGTAACATAATAATGGTGAACTTTGGTACATCTTAGTTTTAAGGAGGTGATTTTGGATGTTCTGTGTATGGTTGATGTATGAAGACATATGCACTAAATAGAAATATCACATTCAGATTTTGAATCAGTTTTGTAAAAAACTTGCAAGCAATTATTTTGTTGAGTAAATAAACCGAATAGCATTAATGTCTATAGAGGCAATAGGAATCATTCCAGTCTAAAACCTCTGTCTTTCTTGACATATTGACTTTAATTTCAATTAACAATGTAACTGTATTAACATTAAATATTACATTAATGATATGAGTATTCTCTTTTATAATTCCTTTCAGTAATATACAATGCACATTTTGTTTGAACACTGCTTTTTAATGTGACAATGACAAAACTTTTTAGTGCATACTGAAGATGGRATATGAATGTTTCAGTGAGTGAATGTCTGCAAAACTATAAGATAAAAATGTACTTCATTATTGATTTTCAAACTCCTTCTTTATGTTCATAATAAACTCAGAATTCAACCATGGTCTGATCTGGAGCGAATCCTGAAGACAGACTTAAGGGTTGATGTTCTGAATAAATAATAAACTGAAATGCAGAAGTATTGAATARGAACACTGTCTTATTTTTCTCTGTGATTTTCTGTGTTTTCTTCTCTTTTAGACAACTTCTGACAGACTCACAAAAGTAGATATATGGATATCCTAAGTAAAAACACAAGTATTTCTGAGTTTATCCTGCTTGGACTTTCTCATTCCCAAGAAATTCAAGTATTCTTTTTTGTTATCTTCTTTCTTGTCTATGTAGCCATTGTAGTGGGGAACCTCCTCATTGTAATCTCTGTGATATGTGATAAACATCTTCACTCACCCATGTACTTCCTTCTGGCAAATCTATCATTTTTTGACCTATGTCTTTCCTCTGTTGCAACTCCCAAAGTGATTGCAGACTTCCTTAGAAAACCATCTCATTGTGGGGCTGCATGGTCCAGATATTCTTTATGCGCTTCTTTGGGGGTGGTGAGATGTCTCTCTTGATAGCTATGGCCATTGACAGGTATGTGGCCATATGCAAGCCCTTGCACTACCAGACCATCATGAACTACAGGATGCTCATTGGGTTTCTGGTGCTGTCATGGGCAGTTGGATTCATTCATACCACAAGCCAAATGGATTTCACAGTGGGTTTACCTTTCTGTGGTCCCAATGTTGTGGACAGCATCTTCTGTGACCTCCCTCTGGTCATCAAGCTGGCCTGCACTGACACCTATATYCYGGAGCTCCTGGTGATTGYGGACAGTGGGCTCCTGTCCCTGGTCTGCTTCATCCTCTTGGTCATATCCTACATCATCATGTTCATCACCCTCTGGCAGCGCTCCTCCAGCGCCGCCTCCAAGGCTGTGTCCACACTCTCTGCTCACATCACTGTAGTGACTCTCTTCTTTGGCCCTGGTATCTTCATCTATGCTTTTCTGTTCAATAGTTATTCTGTAGATAAGTTTCTGTCTGTGTTTTACTCTATAATCACCCTGCCGCAGCCCGTCTGGCTGCAGCAAAATAACCAGGGGGTGACGAATAACTTGTGTGCGTTGATACAGCAGGAGTAGGAGCCGTTTATTGTAGGACCTGAGCGATATTTATACATTCCACACAGCTTATCTTAATTAGCATAAACTAGATACATCAGTCAACCAATAAGGAATCTCCACACTTTTGTTACTTCTCAAACCACTCCCTCTGRCATTTTGCCAGGCACCATCCAGACTTGTTTAAGAACTCAAACATTTCTCTGGCAAAATGCTAGGCACCATCCTGACTTGTTTACAAACTCTAACATCACCCCCTTCCTTAATCCAATTATTTATACTTTGAGGAATCAGGAGATGAAGGCAGCCATTAAGAGACTGAGCAGTCAACAGATTGGTTCCTGTGTTTTCTCTTAGATATTGTTCGTTTCTTGCTTATTTGTCTGCCTTCTACAATTTTAGGGACTTGAGTCTTAAGTATGTAATGAAGTGGCTGAAATAAAAATACTAAATGATATCAGTTTTATTCCTGCCATATTCTATATATTAAGAACTTTAAGTGTTTTAATTTAAAATGTTCATAACAGGGCTGGGGATGTGGCTCAAAAAGTAGTGCGCTCACCTGGCATGCCCACAGCGCTGGGTTCGATCCTCAGCACCACATACAAATAAAGATGTTGTGTCCACCGAAAACTAAAAAATAAATATTTAAAACTTCTCTCTCTCTCTCTCTAAAAAAAAATGTTCATAACAGAGACACAGTTCCTGGAAAATCAAACAWTGTTTTATAACAYGAGTTTTAAGATATCAAAAATACATAAACAAAGTGTTTCCTTATAAAATATTTGTAATATTTTGGTGAATGAAATCGCAAACTATTTATTTTTAGTAAGAATATCAAAATGGTGATAAATATTTACTTCTACAGTTGTGTTCTTAATGTTCTTAAAAATATCTTCCATTAAATATCAATATTATGAAGGTTTATCAGTGGTATTAAATTAGAATTTATAAAAACTTTCTTCAATTCTATGGCCTCAACAGTCTAAGTATACTAGTGGTATAAAAAATTAGGAAAATATTTTCAAACATTTCTTTGTGTTCTGAATTCGTTTCCTAAAATTCAAAATCAATGGCAGTAATAATAATTAAAACTTTTTGTGTGTCAATATATTTTTTATACTAAATAACAAGCATTGTTCAATGTTTCTTTATATTAATTGAAGTGTTTGCAAAGCAACCTTTTTTATAGTTGCTAAGAACCGGACTCTTTTTCAAGCAATATAATACATTGTTAGTGGTATATGTCTAGTTCTTGTCCCAGAGAGGATTACAAGGTTGAAGTGGGGTGAGAGATCTATGTTACACACAGTGATCTCAGAAAACCACTGTGAGAATGAGATATTTAAACCAAGGATATAAACTTTAAGAAAATTGCATAATAGGACATTAGAGAGAGGAAGAGATTTTCAGACAGAAGTGTCAGTCTATATAGGTATTGTGGAGTCAAAAAGAACTGTGTCTACTGAAGATAGACCTTTATGAAGAAGTCCTATGAACTGAAGATGGCAAGTTTAATAGTGAGATTGAATACAGATGAAGACTCCATAATATGTAAGCGGTAAATYCTCTTGTTTAATAAAAATTATAAATAAAGGAATTTAAATGGGAAAGATTAGAGATAGTAACCTTTGATTTTAATACAGCTCTGTCTTCTTAAGTGGATAAGTGAAAAAGGGAGTTGAGCAGGCTCTTCTTCTTATCCTGAATCTGTTAAATGATAGTAAATTTATTGAAACTGTACAATGAAGCATCTAAAGGTAAATAAAAATCTAAAGTTATGCAAAAAAAAAAATCTAACAGACCATTTCTAGGGTGATATCCTACACCTGGAAATAAAGCTTACATATCTTCCCTTTTTACCCCTTTATTGTTCCCTACTTCAGTTTGGCCCTAGACCATGTCTTTTAMATTGTTTATCTTTATTTAATAACTAATACTTGATCATAGGTATAAGAATAGTTATTGTGTCTAGTGATACTGATTGAAAAGTATATAAAGGAAACTTTTAACTTTGAGATATATTTGATAGTTGATAAATGTGATATTTTAGGTACATTTATGAGGGGAAAAATTTCCATTTTACCAATTAAAAGTTTGAGCCTTAGTATCTGCAAATCAATTCTCATATAATAGGAATTAAAAGTCAAGAAGAAGAATAGCAAAGCCAAAAGAATGCACTGGTTTAAAATAGTGTTCAGGGTAGATCTTTTCAATATATAGGCAACATCACATGGTAGATACTGTATTAATTATTTAAATGCAGTGTTTTAATAATTTTTAGATTATTATACACCTCTTTTTTAAAATCTCCCCTTAGGTAATTTCTAGCCAACTCTGCATTCTGATAGCCAGTGGTTAATTATATTCCCCAAAGTCAAAGCAGGCAAAGGGGAAAGAAATTCTTGTTTGCTGGCTTAAGGGATATCTTGGTATTTATTTGTATTTTTTTCATTCTCCTCTTTACCTTAATTTGTAATTGGTCTGTAAGTTTGTCTTATGTGTCAAATTTAAATCACTAAGTGTTCTAATTGATTGTGTTTCCTAATTCACTATTTCTTTGCAAGAAAATAAATTTCAATACACCAATAAATTATTTCTATGTAAACTTTTTCTTTACTGAAACTAAGGTTTAATAAATGACCATTCATTATGCTTTAGACCACAGCTTAAAACATATGATTTTTCTTTGTATGTATATCAAATTTTCTCCCAAACTAAGAAACTGAGTCATCAAAGGAAGAAGTACTTTCCTATAACTTGATTCAGCCATAGTCTTCCTGCTAGAAAGAAGTTGATGTGTTCACCAGCTCAGGGAAGTGKAATTCTACAATTTCCTTGTGAATTAACAAAGACRAATGAATGAATAACAGAAGATGGAGCAGAGGTTCAACTTATCTAAAGATACGTTAATGTTCCACTAAGAATAGTTTACACTTATGATCCAGTGTGGACTGGGGAAAGACATGACTGTTTCTTTTAGATTGAATTTTGTCCTACAATCATCTTCTTCGTTCTTTAGTATTGTTCGGGGAGCTGGCACAAATATCCATCAGACACACATCTCTGAGTTCAAGCAAACATTCATTGACTGAAAATATCTTCCAGGCTCCCTTCTGCAATGTGAAGCAGCCTGCCGAACTAGATAGTCAAGTACAATGGAGTAGTTAAAAAATAACCTGTTTGATTTTGTGATTGTTACTTGATTTCTTGGCTGTGGTTTTGGTAGTGAGGGACTCTTTCAGGTTGGCTCTAATGGGATGGTCCTGCCTGGGTGGACATGTGCTGATTATCAAAATAGAGTTACTTTGGCCTATGGACCTAACAAGTACYAGGGTGACTTTTATTTTAAAAATTTAAAGACTGGTTTTAAGTATAACTCTTAGATCTTGAATAGAGTTCTTTTTACCCAGAAATGATGAAACAATGGATTTTTTCATATGATCAAACATCTAACTAAAAAGAAATGAAAACAGAAAAAAAAATGAAGGAAGTAAAGTTATAGATATTATATACGTAAATAATGTTATGGATTCTATTTTCTACCTTATGTCTTGTTACCATAATATCACACCTCTAATACCTAGAATATCTAAAATTTTACTTATTTAGCCACACAATATTTAAAAAAAATAGTTAGAGAGAATTCTCTGGAAAAAGACTGTGGCCTGATATAAAACAAATAGTTTTACAGAATACAGATCTCTCTGGTTTATCTAAAATATTAGGGTCTATGCGCCACTTATTTATGTCTTGTTAGCTATTGCAAACAAAACACACTGTTATACTTTTAATAAAAATGTAAATAATTTTTGTCTCAAAATTGGAGATAGTTTCTTAAATTACACACTAAAGTAGTTCATTTTACTAAAGTAAAAAATATGAAACATATAAATTACAAAAAAATCCCAGAGAAAGGAATTTTTATTAACAGCATTCATTTAGGTATAGTCTCTACAGTTCTGATTGGGAGGCAAGATAGTTGGTCCCTCATGTATTGCTCTAGAAAACACTTAACTATCTTTTGAAAAGGGATGTGACTCTGAAACAAAACCTTTGTTCAAGTTTGGATGTGAGGTATCACCCAAAAGCTTACACATGAGACAATGCAAGAAGGTTCAGAGGAGAAATGGTAGGGTTGTGAGACTCTTAACCCAATTAATGAGTTAACAACCTGATAGGGATTAACTGGTAACTGAAGTGGTTGGGTGTGCCTAGAGGATGAAGAAATTGGGGGTGTGGCTTTGTAGYATATATTTGTAGCTGGTAAATAGAGACTTGTCTCTCTGCTTTCTGATCATGAAGTGAGCTGTTTCCCTCTGCCACACTCTTAGGCCATGATGTTCTACCTCACCTTGAGCCCTGTGGAATGGAGTCTGCTGTCAATGGACTGTGACCTCTAAAACTGTAACCCTCCAAATAAGCTTTTCCTCCTGTACAATTGTTCTTGTCAAATCTCTTAGTCACAGGAGAACAAAAAAGCTGACTAAATAAACCTTCAAGTTTTATAGAGAAAAAAGAAATAAAATCCAATAACTTTAGAGTAGGGAAAACTCAGCTATGYTGTGGGTGTTGTACTCTCTTTAGTTCATGTCAAAATGTAATCCCCAAAGTTGGATGTTTATGGTGTTCTGCAATKGTACTTTAGGGAGACAATTAAATGAATTTGTTAGGGTGGGGCCCCTATGATTGTAGTAGTGACTTTATGATAATAGAGAGACAGTGCAGTGACCAGCATCACCTTGGGACTCTGTAGAGTGCACAGCAGGAAGAAGGACCTCACTAGGTACTGCCWCCCAATCTTGAATACCTCAGCCTTCAGAAACAAAAGCTGAATTGGTCTTTGTTTCTTCATAGATTTTTCAGGTCTATGATATTCAGTTCTGACAGCAGAAACTGCCACTCAAAAAATCATAGACAATTTTTTTAAAAATAGAATAACTCAATGAGCATTTTTGTAAGAAATCTCTTAGAAGAAATCAAGAATAAACTCTATCTAGGAGGAATGAGTTGGGGGAAAAAAGTGTTCACTCCTCCTTGAAGTTATTCCCACCAAGGGATAGATTTGTTTTCACCAACCCTTGCATGTGGATTGTTTTGAATTTAGCCAGTGTAATTCAACAAAAATGTTTTGTACCACAATTTTTTTCTTTCTTTGTATGAATTTATCTTTCCAAAGTGGCATTGCCATTTAAAAATTATTRTTTTCTGCTGCTGTCATATTGTAATATACATAGAACTATAAAAATTGAAATGGAAATAGGTATCAGTATTGGGATGCTACTAAAACAAAAATGAAAACATATGGCATTGAATTTGTGACCAAGCAACAAAGGCTGGAAGGCTAGTGTTATGGT